TTATATTTTTCACTTTACATAATACTTCCGCTAAAGTATCAAATTTAAACAGTAGAGATAGTTTAGGGACCAGTACTTCGGAATCAACCTCATTATGTTAGATAACAAGTACCTACTTGGTGCATTTGCAATTAAAATTATAAAACAAATGTTTTATTCATATCCGTTTGTTACTTTAAGCGTGATTGAGTAATAAACATTCAAACTGTCCAAACATTAAAATAAATAGACATCTTCACAAAATTTACATTTTATGATATTATAATAGAATCTATAAATTTTTTATCAATTGCAGTCTCATAATATTAGTTCTTTTAAATCTATCAATTCAGATTTTTTTATGCAACTTAAAATGGCAAACAAGATGATGGCCCACCTGATGGAAAGTGGTAATCGTCGCTTATAAACATGAATAGTACCATGGACATAACAGATTATACTGTTTCGCCCATGATACCCCCCATGCGTTGCCATTCCTGAGGACTCAGTTGTTATTTCTCTGTACCCTGTCAATTCACTGCCATATCCGATCCTTCAAACCGAAACACAGCCATGTAAACACAACTGCTTCACGGTAGAAACACGAATGGGACAGAGGTGCCCAAGCAATCGACTTTTGTACAAAGTCTCAGTAAAAAGTTTTAACAAAGGTTCTCATGTACATTAATTTATCAATTATCACTCATTAAACGACACGACTTTCTTTACTCACTTTAAAAATTTTACATGGCAATTCTCGTGCTTATATTAAAAAATATGTTTTATATAATTGATTTCATGTTCTGTTTACTTTGTATGTTATTTCCGTAGCAATTTTCACTAATTGCTGTACGTTATTGAGCAGTCATCGCGATCGTGGGTGCGCGGTTGTAATGGACAGTTTTCGTGTAAACTTTTACTATACATATGTACTTTAGTAAAGAGGTGTTGACAGTAGTAATTAGTCACATGTGACTTTCGATACTTCAACTTTATTTGACTATGAATTTAAGATTGTGTAAACACTGTTTTAGTCTATTAGTACTTTAGCCGATTCTGAAGCGTCATTTCTTTTAAATTACCTTTTTAAACTAATATTTTAATTTTATAATTTCGCAAAATTGCTGTTTTTTTTTTTTGGTTATGTACCAAAAACAAAATTAATAATAATTTTAATTTATTAGAAGTTTATAATAATACTTTATTCGAAATGTCTAAATTAAGTTTGTATTGGTCCTTAGAATAAAGATTTGTGGTGTCAAATTGAAATTGTATTATATATATATATGTATATATATATATATATATATGCATATATATATATATATATATATATATATATATATATATATATATATATATATATATATATATATATATATATATATATATATATATATATATATTTATATGTATATTATATATGTATATGTATATATATAATATACATACATATGTATACGGCCGTGCGGTCCCGGCATATAATGGCCACCCTTTCCTTTCCCGTGGGTGTCGTAAGAGCCGACTAAGAGAGATATATCTAAAGCCTAGCTGCGGTTGTGATTCCGCGTGCCAAGCGTGACAATTACGGGCAAAACCCCCCAAGGGATAGGCTTATGTTCAGCAGTGGACACTTAAAGGCTGATACGCATACGCACACTAAAACATACACTAATTATAACAATTAGAAACTATGTAAGCAAAAGTGAACTTATCTCTAAGCGGAATCTCTTCCAGTCACCTAACACAGTGGCATAGGAAGTCGTATGTTAGAGTTAAAGAAATAGCTGCTCAGAATCGACCTTATTCATATACGTATGTTGGCATCTTATGTAGAGATACATTTATACTTTTATGCAAATTGTTATTATTAGATTATTAAAGAAAGATAAGGCGATAATAACAATTTGTGGCAAAATAAAAATGTTTTCGTGTACAATTTCAGTATAACCGCATTAGTTGTTTATATAATGAGGTGAGCATTTGGCAAATTGTATTTATTTCATACTTTTCATTTCACAATATTTTAGAAGAATCATATTGTTATATGATCATGTCATAATAGTGAATTTAAAAAAAAATGTTTATTAAAAATTAATAATATATCTTAAATACATAATTAGGACTTTACGCGATGAAAAAACCTTTGTTCTGTTGTGACCATGACGTGGTGCAATCCAAGTTGTAAAGTCGGCAATAAAGAAGCAGGTATGTAGGTACTATTTACCTGCAAAGGCTTTTTCATCGCGTTAAGTCCTGATTTTATATTTAAAATATGTGTAAACAACGCGAAAGCTTAAAATTAATAAATATAAGAATTGCAAGCAATTTGACTGCCCACTTAGCGAAACTTAGAAAGTAGCAACTGGTAGACGAATATTTGTTTTAAATGTTATACGGTTATTGGTGAGGAAATCCATGCTGTAGTCTCTAGGGAAGGCCTCGGCAGGAAGATTACTCTACAACTTGAGTGTTCGTGGGAAGAAGCTTCTCTGTAACCGCACTGTGCGTGACCATGGCGAGCGGTGTGATGGTGAAAGGTGGTTATAGATATCATATCGTAAAGTTCTTCATAACAGAACACGTTATACGGGCGGTAGAAGATGTAAAGAGAAGCAAAGTCTCGCTTTAAACTAATTAATACATTCGTTATTGCTGTTAAATTCATAAGATAGAATGAGATGGCAATGTCCATTTATCATATCAGCCCTTTACTATCCACTCCTGAACATCGGCCTTCCCAGTAGTTTTGCCAATAGTTGCCATGCTTGCTAGGCGGGTTGACAATCGCAGATAAGCTTTGGTGATATTTTAAGAGGGACGCTGTTGCCCATTTCTTGACCATTTAGTTTCCTTAGTCGTCTCTTATACGCCTATTAGACAGAAAAGGAATGTGGCCTATTCTATTCCGGGACTACATGGCTCAATCATTAATATCCGTTGTCAATGATGTGTTATTTCTTATCCGAGTGCTAACCGAAACCATTCTCTCGATAGAATCGTTATTTTTCGCCACTTGTATACGAGTGTAATATGGGCGATATTATTAAAAATTAATTACTGTAGAACAATTATGTCTATAGAGTTTATGTGGTTGGTGATTACAGAACGTGAATACTTTGAGAACAAAGTGTGACGGCTATATTCATCGATGAGATTTGGTAATCACTCTGCCCATAATTATTTATTATATATTATTTTTTGTAAAATTCCAGCAATGCCTGTGTGCGTTTCCGCTCCAAAACACATAGATATTACTTAGTTTTGCATAATATTATCGTTGGACGCCGACTTATATCTCACTTACGACATTGTTGCGACACGTCAGATGCGAACTGTTACGTGTGTACGCTTTCAATTAGTATTTTTCAGGGTACCGCAATTAAATATTTAAATTGATTTTTAATGACCATAACATTTTTTGTTTTATACAACTTAGAATGGCAAACAAGCTGACGGCCCACCTGATGGAAAGTGGTAACCGTCGCCTATAGACATGAGCAGTACCACGGACATAACAGAGTATACTGTTTCGCCCATGATACCCCCCATGCGTTGCCATTCCTGAGGACTCAGGTGTTATTCCTCTGTACCAGTAAATTCTGTAAATTCACGCCATATCCCACCCTTCAAATCGAAACACAGCCATGCAAACACAACTGATTCACGGTTGAAACACAAATGTACCCAAGCAATCGACTTTTGTACAAAGTCTCCCTCTGGCATTAAACTATGTGGTTTTGATGGTTAGACGGTGTCAATGATTGAAGTTAGGTAACGTTGTGTACAGTGATTTTTTATTGCCGTTAAATTAAATATATGATCATTGGGGAAAAGTTAATAAAGTCAGTTGTGGTTATTGTAGTAGTTAAAACAAGATTGGAGTCTCTTAAATTTTATGATATTGTAGTAGACGTAATTATCTGTAAATATATAGAGAGTGTAGGACGGCTCTTACTAGATGGATTGACGATTTGAAATGCATTGTAGGGACTCACTGGATGCAGGTGGCTCAAATCAGGACCGTTCTTTATGGTAGTCTATGGGGGAGGCTTAAGTCCAACAGCGGACGGAGAATGGCTGAAATGATGATGATATAAAAAGTAGGTTATGTGAGTCGGAGTTAGTTTCTTTGAGGTGAGAGAACATGCCCAAACGTTGTGAATTGTATAAATTATGTATGACGTTGTGAAACTACCATTTAGTATGATTTTGTGCAGTTCGTATCGTACTGGATGTTTACTTTATTTTTATATTTATTCGGACATTCTTTACTTCGGTCAATATACATTGATCTGGAGGATAAGACAGTTCACATTAGCATAGAACTAATGGAAGATATGTTAAGGCTATACGGAGTTGGTAAAGCACTAACATAGAGCATGTTTGTACATGCTATGTCTACAAGAGATTAGATACCGAAGATCTCTAAAGAAGGTATGGATCCCTATAAAAATTATGTACAGTTAGTTTTTTATTAAACTATCAAGTAGCTACAGGCAACGAAGAATCTAAAACAAAGAAACCTATCTAAGAATAAATCCTAAATTCGTAGACAATGTGACTGGGTTTGATAAAATTCTAGATTTTCACACAAGAAATCATAAAAATAATCTTTTATCTTATCGTTAGACCTCCTAAATAGTTTAAGCATTGTTCGCCCCCTTCACGGCACCAAAAAATGAAGCTTCATTTTTTTTTCAAGTGTGCAACAGAATTGCGAATTAACATAATTACATAACGCATTTCTAGCAAGTTTCTATTAATATTTTCACTGGTTTGTATATATGTAAATTTAGTGAAGCATTGACCGCCAACGCATAAGTGGTATCGTAAATTTTGTTCAAATAAAGCAGGAAACAGGTTCGGAAACACGTGAGCTTGGCATCTATCTATGGTGCAATGAACAGCTGTCAAATGAACAACAATGCGCAGGTGCGCTCGTGCGAATGTTAATTTTCATCAACAGAGTGTATCATCATATCACTTTATGTGGAATGGGAGAAAGAGCGAGGCCGGTGCCCGCGTCGGCAGTCGCTCTACACGCGCAATTCGACATGGTCAACTGTACTTAATTATGTGCAGTACCGTGTTGTGTTTGGTGACCGCGCGTTTTTAAAAACGTAGCGCGAAAAAAGAACACGTCAAACTTTTGGCGCGCACTTTGACAGCTCAACTTTTTTTTCCGACACAAGATCATGGGATTGACCGAATGAATTTATAAGAACAAGTTTCGTGTAAGAAAGTGAATTAACATTTTAGTAACGTGACGTGTGAGAGTGGTGAAACTTATTGCATAACCGTCTGAAGCTTCGGAGATGTTTACGGAATTCTATCAATCAACATTGTAGTGTACACTTGTATTGTTTCTAATTACGCGTTTAAACGATTTAATTAGAAATGGACTTGTTCATGAATATAGGATGCTTATTTTTTCCTACTCATATAATAAATAAGTAATAACAAACACTTGATATATTGACAGTTGAATTACACCTAACTAAAAACGTGTACAATCTGAGTTATGGCTTATTTTTTATTTATCTTCGATAATTGTTATTACGTAGATATATAACTGAACAGGAAGATGATCAGTCCCATTGTAAATATATCTGGTTTGTATCTGAGAAAGCAACTTTGTATTTGCAGAATAGAGAACAAAATACTACAAAAAAAAAATGTAAATGGAATCAAACACTATCACAATAGGTACAAAATATTACAATTTACCCGAAAAGTTGGTTAAATTTCGCTTGTATTTAGTAATTTATATATATTTGATATTTCGTTCTGAAATGAAAGTAATTTATTATATAGTAGATATGTTTATACATAGAAATTGATTACAATTCGATCATCTTTTTAACTTTATTAATGTTCTTTATAATTTATTTGTTCATAAGTAACGATTACATAGATTCTTATCGGTTGTATCGTGTCATATCGAGTCATTTGCATGCAACATGACATAGAAAGTGTAGTAAAGTAATAATTTAACGCTTCTTGGACATAAGTTTTTAAGACGGTGTATAGATGACTAGAAAGAATACATTTGCAATCAACTTCAAAAAGCAGAAGGTTCTAGATGTAATTGTATTGCTGTTTCCTTATGTTTATGATTTTAATTACTCTATTATAATTCACAGAGTTTACTCCCTTAAAGATCTTGTACTAATTTTGTTTCGTTTGAAATAATTGTTTTGGGCATCAGAATATTTACAATTATTTTTTGCTTTTTTATTAAAAAGCCTCTTTTTAATTTCTAATGTAAAGGTTTTATGTACATTTTTTTATATATTTCTTTTTGAAAAATATTCAATTTTATATAATGTACTAAGATGTTTTGCTAAAAACCTTGCAATAATAGCGGTCCTTATTAAAATGGATGCGTGTTCAACTAGATCCTTGTCTTATAGATAGGATTAAAAAACATAAACGTCGTGTAGTGTCATGTTCCTATCCAATTAAAAGCAATAAGCCTAATTCATCGTTTTAATTCGACATGGCATGCTTAGGGAAATCGCAGTTTTTGCAATCGGCTCGTGTTAGTTAATTAGACAATTAATTTCTGGCGACAGGCAATGTATAAAAATCGCACTAAACATTGTGGGGAAATTATATTTATTGTTCTTGTCATGTACTAAAAATTTATGATTTATTGAAATAATAAAGGCTTTAGCCTTAGATAACATAGACAGAGCAGTGGTTCACGTACTTTTTGGCTATGGAACACTTTTGGGAAGGGGAGTATTTGATGTAATCCTAGAAAAATCAAACACTGATTCATTTGTCATTAATCATTGAAGTAATAATTATTTCATTATTTTCTCTCATTAATTACTAAATAATAAGGTATGAAATTGTTTTTTATATTTCATAATTGTTTGATATCAGGTTCGATAGAAGAGAGTTGAAGTCTTATGTCAGGTTTCAGCATTTAGTTTATTGCGGTATTTTGTGTGTTGTACACTCGCACAAGTATGTAGAGAATGGGAGAAGAACAGTCAGGGCTTTTGAGGCAAGAAATGGATCATGAATTCTGTACCAAAAATCATTCAGAGGCATTGTTTTTAATAGTGACTCCATACTTGTGTCTGATGTCATTTCCAAAAATGATTCATATATCTCGTCTAACTTTTTGTAGATCTCTCTCTCTTCGTCCACTTTATTACTGAAGGTCGTGTCCTTGAAAGGTGTCTGTTGCCTCTCTTATGATGTTATTCCATTTCGCACGGTCTTCAGCTTCTCGCAGGGCAGCTGCAATTAACAATCCCGTAATGGTGGTTACTTGGTCCGACCATCGATTAGGCGGTCGTCCGCGTGGTATTTTTCCCTCTATCTTGCCTACAACCATTAGCTTGTCCAGATTGTTGTCATATTTGACCGAAGTATCCAAGAATCCTCCGATAGCAGACTGTTGAGAGCCTATATTTTATGCGGATCTTTTTGTAGATACGTAAAATTAAAAATTTAACGGATTTTTCCGCTAGAGCCTTAAGGTAATCCTTTAGCATTTCAGTATAGTAGAAGTCAAACAAGTTGATTATGATTAAGATTATGTGGATTATTGGAATTATAAACCTTTTACTAATAGAATAGTATCATTCTTGATGTTCATATTATTACTAAGCAATAAATAAAAGTTTATGTCGTATTTGTGTTATGCATAAGTATTTTATAACTATGTAATAAATAAAGCAAACATAGATGAAAGACATTAATATGGTAAATATTATAAAGATGTAGATACTTACGTGTTAATAAGTGCGAGAAAATAGGTTATTATATTAGTTTTATGAGTTATTTGCATTCATTACATGAGCTATATCAATTAACCTAAACTTTAATTTTACTATTTACCAGAGTATATAATTACATTTCAAGTTATACGATTTCAAGTTTACTTACATAACTTTGTAGGTCAATAAAGCAAGCCGGTGTTAACTTACCATAGTTAGGTAATCAATTTAATTTGTAATATCAATATTCATTCATAAACCGGAATAGGTCATAACTCAGAGTTGTACGCGTCGAGTCGGAAGTTAAAATTAACTCAGGTCTAGCGTTCACGTAACTTATTTCAGTATGATAAAATAAGTTAAATTTATAATATTAACTAGCTATATCCCGTGGCTTTATTCGCGTGACTTGAAATAACAATGTATGAAACAAATTTCATAACTGGGTTTAATTGAATTCATACAAGTAATTAAGAATTCTCTTTGTATGATGACAAAGGAGCTCGAATATAAATATACTTATCACTTCTCTTTTTCATTCCAAGGATATCATAAAAGGCAACTAAAATATCAGTAGTACATGTACTAGTGCAAGAGAGAGAGAGAGAAAACTTAAAATAAAAATTATATCATTGTAGTAGATATAATAGATTTATGTCATAATCTTATCAAGAAAACTCATCTCTAATGTGTTGACGTAAATAATTTATTATCGTGTTCGAGAATTCAATTAAACCCAACATAATGTTCTTGATAAAGTAATTAAGTTATTTATACACTTAATTAGGTAACAGACTACAATAATATATGAATTGCTATCTTTGAGTGAAGAATTTGACTTGGTAAAGACACGGTCGCGTTAACTAGACCTTATGTAACCGTATCGTAACTAGATGAGAACACGGAAGCGTGTTACCGAATAATTCCGCCTATAATTAACCCATTAACGTCTGAATTCCACTAGGTCTCTGTGATTTTCTGTACTCTTTCTTAGTAGTGACAGTTAAATAACGAATTCAGTGATTCTAAATGCAAAATTCACGAGAGAAATGCCTAAGGAACGTTCCAATGATGATAACTGCAATGCGATAGCGAGACTCATAAAGGACTTTTGTAGTTGCTCAGAAAACGGAACCTGGTCACCGGACATGACGTCGGACAAAAGAAAAGACCCGGTCCTCAGAAGCGAAATGACAAACATGTCCGCGATGCGCAGAAGAATAATGACAATCGCGAAAAGAAAAACGAGAGATGTCGCGCCAGAACCACCTAAGCTGTACGATCACGGTCTGGACAAAAAATCGGAAACTCTAACTTCGAATCTAATTAATACAACTATAAGTTCACAGAGTAGCACATTGAGAAGGAATATAGACAATTTTTTACTATCTAGAAGAATGTTTGCGCTAGAAGAAGATATCTATGAAAAGCCGATACCGGTTACTATTAAAAATTCGTCGTGCGGCGAAAATTGGTCGCTGAGTAAAGCATGGAAAAACAACAACGCCGATTTCTTTCATCGATCTCCTAAACTCGATTCTAATCGATTGGTCGATCGTAATTATACATATTTAGAACGTATAGATGAAGTTCCAAGAAGAAAGAAAAGAGATAAGAAAAACAAAGAACAGCTGCGTTACGATAGAAATATAAAGAGGCATATTAGAATTAGGGTAATGTTGTCATTAAGAATGAGGAGATACATGAAAAGGAGGTTAAGGAAGTCCCATATGCAACCACAGAATGTTAACGTGCCTCCCAGGAGGTTTCCTAGGGGATCATCAATTAATTCCAGTTTCGGTACACGATCATACAAGAGTGTGCTGACGGATAAGCTGGGCGATGGAGCGGTTTTATTTGATATACATGAAGCTAGGAATTCTACTATGGAGCTATGCCACGATTACGAAGAGGACCTCGACACGTTGGAGATTGCTCTCCGCGCCGGTAATTTTAGGTAAAAATCACATTTTTATAACTATTGAATTGGTATTTTTCCATATAGAAGTTTGTTTTCAGTATGTATTCAGGGAGTATATAAAATTATTAATTCGCCGTAAACTTCTTAAACACAATAATAGATAAGTCTTCATGGTAAACGATATTGTCCAATAAATATTTTACAAGCAGTCAGAAACTGTTTTCATGTTATTTTCTGATATTTATACCTGAGTAAATTATATATTTAAAGCCTACATAAAATTTGTATATTGAATTGGTTAAATGCATTAGCGATATATTTTTGGACAGTAATCGTCTTTTGATGACAGTCCTTGATTGGCGTCGAATCTGTACTCGTTTATAATGTCATTTTTGTATTAAATATATTTATGGTATTTTGCATATTTATATATGTAAATTTATATTTAGGTAGTCTATAATTAATATTATAAAGAGGAAAGATTTGAATGTTTGTTTGTAATGGATAAACATAAAAACTGCTCAACTAATTTTAATGATTCATTCAGGTATAATAAGCTAAATTTATCAGCAAGTAACACAAGCTATATACTATTTTTGAAAACTCTATGTGCCCTCTATGCGCCGTGTGAAGGCGGGCCAGATCGCTAGTAAAAAATAAAATCGCTGTCCGCATCGGTCAATTTATAAGCTTATTTATTCTAAACCATGCTGCAGATTTCAATACTAGTTTCACTATCATTTAGATATTTTTTAATGTAGTATATAATATGTAATAAATTACATATTTAAATATGTAATTTATATATATGTATATTACAATATATTTACAAATTTTAATATATAAATCCTATTTTCTGTTTTTTCATGATTGAATTTTAAATTGACAAATATTACGTGAATAGGTATAAAGTTTGATAGAACTTCAATTGACTGATTTGTGTACTATAATGATCTTGGGACGATATGTTTTTACGAGAATCGAGATACAAGAATTTTCCTGGGTAGACTGGACAAGTTATGATCAGCTGTGTATAACAAACGTTTGAAATGCAGTCTTAGGTTTATCGTACTTAAGTCTACTCTAGTCTAGCTTATTAAAATTAGTATCATGATTAACCAATTTTATAAGGTCAAACATATTAGAAAATGTCCAACAAAATCATTCCGGATGCATGGCCACCGTACCGTAACTCTATTGTTGCTCCCTACGTTAATGTAACACTGTCCATCTGTTTATGCAGTGGACAATGATTTAATCGGACATTAGTGCAGTCTGTTATTTAGAGGTCGATTGCAAATTTTGTCTGAAGGTTTTCTATATTTGTTTTTGTTTTTAAATTGTAATAAAAAATTAGATTAGTCAAAAAATTAAAATATGTCTGTGTTTATAACGCACCGAGTTTAAATTTGTATTTTATAACTAGTTTATAATGTTAATATATATTATAATTAGTAAGCTTTTAGTGTTCACTATGGTTAGGAAACAATTATTACATGTTACGCACATCGGAGGGTACATGAAGTTGTCCTCCAGTAAGATATGTAGACTTTCTATATAATGTATGACTATAGAATTATTTTAAGGGAGGGAGACTTTGTACTTACTACTTTAGTACTTAGTCTCCCTGAGGGAGACTTTGTACAAAAGTCGTTTGCTTAGGTACCTCTGTCCCATTCGTGTGTCTATTGTTAAGCAGTTGTGTTTGCATAGCTGTGTTTCGGTTTGAAGGGTGGGATATGATGTGAATTTACTGGGTACAGAGGAATAACACCTGAGTCCTCAGGAATGGCAACGCATGGGGGGTATCAAAGGGCGAAACAGTATACTCTGTTATATCCATGGTACTGCTCATGTCTATAGGCGACGGTTACCACTTTCCATCAGGCGGGCCGTCAGCTTGTTTGCTATTCTAAGTTGTATAAAAAAAAATTTAACCACTTCAATAAATGTGGAAGTCTATTATTAAAGCTTTCGAGAATATACAAGGAAAGAAGGAAATTCATATATTGGTCGACCAAATAGGCGACATGCTGAAGAAGGGCCAAATAAAAAGTACTCGCAACTGGCGAACGTGTATGAAAAGATTGATGAATTTTTTTTTTTTTTTTTATACCACTGTGGTGGCAAACAAGCATACGGCCCACCTGATGGTAAGCGGTTACCGTAGCCTATGAACGCCTGCAATACCAGAGGTATTACGCGCGCGTTGCCGACCCTGAAGAAACCTCTTTACCCCCCTTTTGAAGAACCCCATGCTGTAGTCTCTCGGGAAAACCTCGGCAGGGAGCTCATTCCATAACCTGAGTGTTCGTGGGAGAAAGCATCTCTGAAACCGCGTTGTACGCGACCATTTAGGCTGTAAGGTATGAGGGTGAACTCCCTGTCGATGGCGAGCCGTACGATGATAGAAAGTGGCCGTAGGCATCATATCGAACAGTTCCTCTGAGCACAATCCGTTGTATAAGCGGTAGAACACGCAGAGTGAGGCAAAATCTCTCCTAAGACTTAAGGGTTCAATACCGCTTGCAAGCATGGGATCATCGACAATTCTCATAGCTCGCCGTTGCACTGAGTCGAAGGGTTCAAGCTGGTAACTAGGTGCTCCCGCCCATAAGTGACAGCAATACTCCATATGGGGCCGGATTTGCGATTTGTAAAGCATTAATCGTTGATCCGGCGTGAAGTAATGCTTCGCTCTATTGAGCACACCGAGTTTTTTGGATGCCAGCTTCACCTTATCTTCGAGGTGGCTACGGAACTGTACATCACTAGAGATGTCGACACCAAGGATCCCAATGCTTTTAGAGATGTTAAGAGACGTGCCTTGGAACTGTGGGGCCACAGCAAATGGGGTTTTCTTAGCGGTGAACGCGCAAGCTTGTGTCTATATGAATATGAAAGAAACGAAAGTGGTCTGTTTGAATCGAAGTATATGGCATTCTATTGTTTCTACCTACCCTATAGAGTGACAGACGTGACAGATATGTATATTGGTTATATTTGGTTAGCTATATACGCAGTCAGATAGGTACCTCTTCGTTGTAGCTTGAAACATCATGGTCAATTCTTAGTGATTTAATCCAACTGATTTAGCTATCATTCCTCATTGATACCACGCCAGCATACACTAATAGTGCAGAAGAGTTACCATTAAATTTTTATTTTGTATAGTCTCTTTAATCATACAAACGTCAGACATCTCATAAACTGTTTATTTGTAGCGTATGTATTGATTAGTATTGATATTATTCATACAGCATTCGTGTACCTTAACTGTCCGTTAACGACATGCCTTCCCACAATTTTTTCAATAGGGTTAGCTGGAAGGATATTATCTATGTAAATTACAAGTGTAATAAAGAATTTATAAAACTATTGTACTGTTTTGTCTCTACTTTTGTGCTAAATTTCCAATTTGAATGAGATTTTTTTTCTTTTTTTTTTTAATTATCATACATAAATATATTAAAAAAATTGGATTTTTAGTACCACTTAAACCTCTTGGGCTTGTGTGTGATACTTTACATTATGATAAAATAAACAGTATGATAGTTAAAATAGATTTGTAGAAGCTTTTAGTTTTTTATGAATAAGGGGACAGTCTTTAAGATAATCTTGAAGATCGATTATTAACATTTCAGAGGCAAAAATATTATCGCAAATACTTTCGCTTGATTTATTAGCTGCGACTGTATTTCAAATATTCAGTTAATTATTGATTGGCACATTGTATGTACTCATTGTGCAGTACATAACATGTTATTTAGTGATGTTTACAATCGGCTTTAGAAATGCAATCAGCAGGAATTTTATCTTGCACGCAACATCTGACTATATCATACTATATTCTTCAGATTTCGTTTTCAGACTATCTGTGATATAGAAAAAGTGGCAGTTATAAGAAATTTGTTGCTGCATTTTTAATGATTGAATGATGATATATAATAGAGATCATGGTACGTCATTTAAGGGCACAATTTCAGGGCAATAAAATCGATAGGTAACAGCATTTTCAAGGGGGACAGGGATTGTTAGTAGTGAGATCCAACAGACCCATTACTAGCAATATATCCTAACAGGTCGACCTCCACGTGCTTCCCCCTGAAAACTATCGTGATTAATTCTAGTGGAATTCGTCACGATAGGCTAACTGACCTGCTTTCATTATCACCTATCATCCCTCACTGGTGCCCCGCCAGCGTATACCGATAGCGCATGCGGGGTTACCATTCCATTATCACCCATTAAAAAAAAAACGTAACATTTACGAGGGTCGCTGTTCTCCATCCCTCAACCATAAGTTCCCCTAGCGCTAAAACGCTAAAGAGGTAACAAACTCACTTTTAAGGATATTTTATATGTACCTACGTGTCTCCTTGTAGTCATTATTTCCCTCTCCAATCCACCGTTTCATTACAAACGACAACAATTCTTTACTGTAAACAGTAATAAATTATCGGTATAGTTATATATGGGTATGAGATATATCTTCAAATTATATAATGATTTTCTATCAGATTATTGACTATAGTTTTGTATAAAGTTCAATGTCAGGAAATTATAATGAGTCGCTAAATTCTAAATTATCATTTTAAGCCTTATTTCTATCTTTTTTAGATCTATTTAGCAATGTAATTTATTAACATTTACATTCACGATAGTTGGAAGTTGTATTCCCGTTTTTAGACCAGTTTTATTTAAATAGGTCATTTGGCTAACTGGATCTTCAGTTTCTATGCGGTGATACAGTTTGGAAACCCAGCTGTGAATGGAAGAATAAATTTACGAGTTTGCTTAGCAGCCAGTAGTTTTTGCTCCATAAAAAATAAGAACTTACATTAAGGTTGTTTCTTATATGCATACATGTCTCTGAAGTTCTGATCCTACCTTTTAACGTAACATTACCTTTTGATTGATTCGCGAAGTTATAGTTTTTAGGATTATCATAAACTAATTTTATCTGAAAAGATATATTTATAGATAGGTTCCTATAGTCGCAAATTGTTTTTTAAATTGGTTTAGTTTTTCGATTAAAATTATCGGTTTTGTCACAAATAAAGTCGGGTTTTGTGGGACACACTATTAAATTATTTTAAAAATTATTTTTACAATCGGTAGACAATCGATCATTTTTATATTTCACGTTTAATTAATTTTAATTATTAATTTTACTAATATTTTAAATGTGACAGTTTGTAAAGGTAATTTCAAATAATATATACCGAATAAAAAAAAAATATTGAAGTTCGTAATGCTATTTTCTTGCCATGATGTAATAGACAGACATACATTAATAAACTTTAATACTTACGATTTAATTATAATATTGATAAATCAACGCCGTATATCCGCCTGTCTGAGACATTTATAGACGACTCTACAATTGGTCTAGATTTTAATTTGTATACAGAATCAATGCTAATTGATTTTATATTAAAATTAATAGCCTTGTTCTCGACTTTTCCAGACACACTATCTTTTTATTTTACATTCAAAATCGAATCTTAACATAAAATCACTGAATTCTCATGTTTAGATCAATCAAAATCTGGTTATTTGATTACAGTTGTTTTGTTTAATTTCGTTACCATTAATACGTACCGTACCAGTACTCGAAGATTGACTATTATTATTGTTACTAGAAGTTCTACAGAACTACTACATAAGTTTAAATTAGACTTGAATTTTAAGACGTATAATTAGATTTTTATTTTGATGAAGGTTGTAAAAAATCGTATTTATTAAGATTCTAATCTCTAAGTGAAAAATATTGATGAATTATATAAAATAAAAAAGTATAAATCTTATATATATATATATATATATATATATACTCTTTTTCACATTTCTTTTTTACTTTTTTTTATATATTGTTTCAAAATTTGTATTACCTGTCAGTGCCATCTATTGATAAGTAGAGAAACATTCTTGTGTATGTTCTTCTCTATGAGTGTGCTAGTCAATGGCTTTATAATATCGCAATGTGTGCATAGATGGCGTTGATACCAAGCGTTGATGCAAAGTAATAAGTTAGCCTCTTACAGTCCATACAGTTAGCGTTGAAGTCTTTTATATTGATAAATCTTTTGTAAATACGAAATGAATTTTAATTATATTTTTTGATTAATTTAATTTAATATTATTATTATTAAATGTTTTTGATTAAACATTTAACAACATTTTACTAAGTTTGCTTATTGTAACTCAAGTATGTTTTAAAGAGAATCATATACAATATAAAAAGTTTTTCTAAGTACCTACTCTGTTAAGTAATAAATGCTGGTACATATATAACACATAAAATAAAGAAACATGAGATTACTTACAGATAACATGATTGACTGATAACAAAAAATTTATTCCCCAAAAAATACAGTGACTTTAATTTACTACAACATTAATATACTGGAGTACTCTATTGCAAAGAGAATTATCAAAACGGCTTCAAAATATAATACACATATAGATAGACATTTTTGTGAAATTGTTTAATAATTATAATTATATACCTATTTATTTAATATATTTTTTTGTGCGTGGGTGAAAAAAGAATGGGATTGCCGCTTGATTTATTGGTTTAACCTGACGAGACTACAGTGAAAGATGATAGTTAAGGATGAAAATGGGTTAGTTAGCCCATTGTGACAAGAATAAATCACGAGTGTTTCCACAAGGAACTGCGTAGAGTTCGACCTCTACGCGGTTCCTTGTGTGATATGTGTATGTGTGTTATGATATATGTGATGTGTGATATTTTGTAATAAAGTTGTTAGTCCCTATTGTAGACAATTCCTTTTTTTTATATTTTTTTTGATGGGTGAAAATGGAATGGTAACCCCGCCTGCGCTAACGGGATACGCTGGCGGAGCACCAGTGAAGGATGATAGATGAGAATGAAACAGGCCAATTAGCCCATCATGATGAATTCATCAGGAATTAACCATGATAGTTTCAAGGGGGAACCGCGAGGAGGTCGATCCGGTTGGGTATATTGCTAGGAATGGGATTCTTAGTCTCCATTATTAACAATCCCTTTCCCCTCCCATTTAATATGTTATACTGTGTCGTCCCGCAGGAGCGGTCGGCTAGCTGTCGAGGGGTGGTGGTGCGGGCGGGCGATGCCGGCGGCGGGGCCGGGCGGGCGCGCCAACAACGGCGCGCTCGCGCTCCACTATGCCGCGGCCCGAGGCTGCCTCGACTGCGTCAGGCTACTGACCAACACCACGCCTGATGTCTCGTGAGTACAAATTACACATCTAGACTTATCGTTACACTAAATAGATAGTGTCGAAGTGACACATGTATAATTTTACATTTATAAATGTGTGGCTGCTTCGATAGAATCAGACTACTTATAATCACTACGCCTGATGTCTTGTGAGTACACGCTACACATCTAGACTTATCGTTACACTAAATAGATAGTGTCGAAGTGACACATGTATAATTTTACATTTATAAATGTGTGGCTGCTTCGAATGAATCAGACTACTTATAATCACTACGCCTGATGTCTCGTGAGTACACGCTATCTATCGAGCCTTACCATTAAATTGTTAGTGTTGAAGTGACACATATATAATCTTACATTTATAAATGTGAGGTTGTTTCAACTGCATCAAGCTATTTATCATCATTACGCCTGATGTTTTGTGAGTACACACTACACATCTAGACTTATTGTTACAATAAATAGATAGTGTCGAAGTGACACACGTATAATCTTACTATTATGAATGTGAGGCTGCTTCGACTGCATCAGGTTACTTATTTTCACCACGCTTGATATCTCGTGAGTACATACTACACATATAACTGTAATAAGTAAGTACATTTTATTTCCCAAAAATAAAAACATCCATTTTAATCACGGCAATACCAGTTATTTTGATTTAAAGATAAATTTCTGAACTGATTTCGATGAAATTTCTATGAGAACAACTGAAAGTATAGGTATATCCTAAAAAAAAAAAATTCGAATTGGTTTGTAAATGACAATAATGAAGTTCTGAGTTAAAAAACAAAAAAATACGACCACTTTGAGAACCTCCTCCTTTTTTTAAGTGGGTTGAAACATACAAGTAGGTAGTACATACTATACATTTATCTTTACCTTAATAATTCCACTATTGGGCATGTATCTTTCCATATAAGAGTAGGAGAGTTATAGAGACCTAAATGGAGGGTATATGTATACTTAAAACATAATTCCTCTTTCTTTTATTAACCTACATGTAAAATTTATTTATTAACTCTACAAGATTGAATACTGAACGAATATCGAAAATATAAAAATTTCGTAATTCAAAAGATTTTCTCGCTCTTAAAATTACTTTCATACCACTTTTGGGAAAAAGTGGTATGAGTGGAAATATGGAAAAGACAAAATCTAAGTTAAATTAATCCGAATGACGGCCTTACACTTTATAAATAAATCTAAATTAAATAAACTCTCGGCCATGTTGAATTCTATATAATATGCTTATCGAATGGACATCCCTAGTGTTACGTTTCGACAACGGAAGCAGTCGAAAAATGCCTTTGAATACTCCGTTAGAGATTACTTTACTTATTTTTAATTTTACTACATTATTTTGTATAAAAGTGGTAACACTAGAATGCTACTTGTGCGTATTAACTGTACCTACTATCACGGCGTATAACGGACAGCGGGACCGCGAGCACTAACATGGTCGATGTTCTACTACTTAGAGCTATCAAGCGAGTCTATGAGTACAATTGATAGTTCCTATTTTTTTCTATAATTTTGTGCGGCAATATCCTTTTTTTTATAAAGAAGAACAAATTTTAAATTAATAAATAAAATTTAAAATTTTAAATTTTATTTATGTATATGGGCCGCACGTTAGATGCAATCTTGGGTTGGACCTCCGACCCACATAGATAGATTTCATAATTACTTGCCATTAGGTGGCTATGGTGTCAGGTGGCTATGGAGTCAATGTGTCATGCTAGTATAAAAAAAAAGAAAATATGTATTTATATATTGTTATGAAAGTTAGGAGGATAGACAAAATAATTAAATGAACTAATAATGTTAAAGATTTTCATTTTAATAGATTTATAAATTGTTAAAACAAAAGTTGGTTTTGTTTTCTATACTAATATTCTAAAGAGGAAAGATTTGAATGATTGCTTGTTTATAACGGATAAACTCAAAAAAATACTCAACAGATTTTAAAAATTATTTCACACGGATGAAGCTATATTATCAGTGAATAACATAGGCTATATTTTATTTATGTATTATCGTGCAAAGCCGGGCCAGATCGCTAGTTATATATTTTTTTGTCTGTCAATATACACTAATATAAATACGCTTTTTTACTTTATAATCAAAATATCTTCATATTATTCACAATTGGGTCAATGTTAATTATGAAAAAAAAATTAAAATAGTCTAGAACTTAGTGAAAGCACATTTAATTAAAATGAAGGCAGTGAGTGCTACTCGTATTCAACTAGGTATCTGTGTTACAGTATGGTAGGTATATTGGAGTGCATTTGAGTAAATCATATTACGAATCCGCTACGTGTGATTGGTTCTACTTGTAAGATAGGGTTGTCAAACTTGATTATTTTTATAAATAAATGAATTTTAATATAATAACTACCAGTTTAACTTATGTGTGATTAAATCGAAAAAGTTTGACTAATTTACTATTAAAATATAATGTGTGCTTATGAAATTTTTAATAATAAAATAAATTAATATTTATATACAATTTTCACGTATATGTACAAATAATAAATTTGTAATTAGACCGTGACAGTGAAGGTGTCTCGACAAAGCAAGATTTTGATGAAATTTGGTGCGGTAACAACATACTAATTCAATAATTAGGATAATTTTAGTGCAGTAAAATGACTCGTTTTTGTCTTAAAATTATTAAGAGAAACGCACGATAGACAGTGCATAATTAAATTATTTATAAAGTTTTTAAATTATAAATAAAAATAAAGTAAATCCTGTTGTTTGCAAAAATTTGAATTGACCAAACTATATTGTGTAACAGTGTAACATGTGCATAAAAAAGAACAGACGAATTGAGAATCTTTTCCATTGCGAAAATATATGAAAGATCCTTATTGGTACAAAATTAAAAAAACTTTTCGTGTTAAATAATAAATGCTCTGTCGTTGTCATGACAAAACGAAAGATTAATGTTTTAAAATAGTTAGAGTACCTTTTTACATTTGCAACTTAGAATAGCAAACAAGCTGAGGGCTCATCTGATAGAAAATGACAACCGTCGCCTATAGACATGAGCAGTACCTTTAGTTAATCATATAATAAACTAGCTCTCACCTGCGACTTCGTCCGCGTAACCAGAACATTGATTGATAAGGACAATTAGTGGCCTATGTTCTTTTCTATTCCATACAATACATGCATATCAAATTTCATAGAGATTGGTTAAATCTTTAATAATGTGTGAATAGATAGCTTGACAACCCTATTTCGTGACATTTAATATTACAGGAATGCGAATTATATTAAATTTTTATGACCAGTAATGACCATAATTACAATTGGAATTGGAATGGAATTTAGCTAGATATGAGAATAGTAACATTCGTCAGTACTAAATTAATAAATAATACTAAATAAATAAATAATTAAACACGAGGTTTAGATGCGTTTTCTTTATTGATTTCCACCATATATTACGTTAAATAAATTGTATTTTCAAATATATATATACTTATATTATACAACCCGTCATAAACTAAAGTTTCATCCCAACCATCTAGACGACTGGCGGTCTTCCACTGTGCGTTTTTCAAGACACTTTCTCCCACGCACAACCACTCTTTGAAATCAACTTCCAGCAGGAGTATTTCCAAACCGATACGACATCATAACCTTTGAGAAAAGAGTATATTCCTTTTTAAAAGGTCGGCAGCACACCTGCAATGCTGTTGGTGTAGTGGGTAATCATGGGCGACGGTAGTCACTTACCATCAGGTGAGCCGCATGCTCGTTTGCCCTTTGTGTTGTAAAAAATATATATATGATATTAAATTTTTTGAGATCCGTCATACTCGTGAATGGGTGCTGCTTGTGCATGTTTGGAGAGGTCTATGTTCAGCAGCGGACAGATTACATAGAAAAATCGAATTTAACGAAACAAAAAATAGTAAACCATACTCAGTGGGTAGGTGTAATGAAATACCAGCGACGTTCACTCAGTAGAGAAAGCGTTACCGAATTAATTGTATTTATCCGCGATCTGAGCGTGCTATCTCCATCTTCACACTCCGCCACCAAATCAGATCTGAATTTTGCACCGCGCTTCAGTGCGGTAGTCTGCGCATCTGTACAGGCGGGCTACTTTGCATGTTGCTTACATTTGTATTTATAACTGGCTTTTTTCCCCTCTACTTCGTACGCGTACATTTCAGTCAGTCCAGGTTTTTTTTTATACAACTTAGAATGGCAAACAAGCTGACGGCCCACCTGATGGAAAGTGGTAACCGTCGCCTATAGACATGAGCAGTACCATGGACATAACAGAGTGTATTGTTTCGCCCATGATACCCCCCATGCGTTGCCATTCCTGAGGACTCAGGTGTACCCTGTAAATTCACGCCATATCCCACCCTTCAAACCGAAACACAGCCATGCAAACACAACTGCTTCACGGTAGAAACACGAATGGGACAGAGGTACCCAAGCAATCGACATTTGTACAAAGTCTCCCTCTGGTCTTCTTAAACCTTCTAGGAGGGTTTAGGTGGGGGCCTGGAGGCGGATTTCATTTCTAATTATGAACGATGACTAGAGGCTCTATTGCTAGTCTGTCAACTTCTACACGGTTCACCCTTGACAGATAAATTGACTTGACTAAATTTTCCCCCATCTATCATACCTACCATACCATAGTACCCCGCCAGTGAATACTGATAGCGAAGGTGGGATTACTATTCCATTATGATCCATTTAAACCCCATTATTTATTATTATTAGTAATGCAGACGCTAGCCCCATTGCTAGCAATATAACCTGTTTGGTTGACTTCCACGTGGTCCTCCTTAGAAACCATCGTGCTGAATTCCAGGTGTATTCATCACGGTGGGCTAAGTGACCTGCCTTTTTATTCTCACCTATTATCCCTCACTGGTGCCCCGTTAGCGCATACCTTTAACGCGGGCGGGTATACCATTCCATTATCATCTATTAAAAAGGCCCCACCATATCTGTAATTTCTCACA